TGGCATGACAGCAGGAGAGATGGAGATAGCCCAGCAACATTCCTACAAAGGCCCAGCCCACCGCACCATCAGCAGGATTGCAAACCGAAACCGAATGAGCATGGGCTCAATGTCTGGGACCCTGCAGCACCAGATGTCCTCAGGTGGGAGCGCCTATGGTGGAGGAGGAGACAGAGTGGACGGGGGATTCATTACATCTGGAATGGGCTCTAGTTCCCAGGGGAACATGATAATGCAACGTCATGGCACTATTCCCCGTGCCATGTCCATCAAAAGCATGCATAGTGTGGGCAGGGGCATGGACATCTATGGTGGGCAGATGGAGATGGGAGCCAGCATGGGCAACCTCAGTGGGTGAGAAGCTCACACAACAAACAAAGTCTCCAGTGTTTTTTGCTCACATTCACAATGACCATGCTTTCATTTGAAGCACCGGGCATATTGCATGTTCTCACACTTCGTCGTGTTATGGTAGGCTGCACTGCAAATTAGTTTCTGCAAAATATGCACGTCATTGGTTAGAGTCAGTCAAACTAACAACCAACCTGAGTACATGCTAATGTTGACTCATATTGCATTACTTTCAATTTGACAATAAAATTTGTCAACTGACCCCAAAACCAATGGTGTCTTGATCCTACTAAAATGGGTGGTCTGTGTGGCCAAAGCCTGACATACAGTAACTTAATCCATTCTGAAATTACTAAAATTACAAATGAGCCACATGTTTGCACTGAGTGTTCCTTTATTACCATGAATATGAGCACTAGTTTATTTTGAGTCCATCCTACATACACTGCCCTGCTGCTGCAAATACTGAGTAGTACACCAAATGTGTGTTAATCCGCCTCTGAAAATAGTTCCCAACAAAGGCACTTCTTGCTCCTGTTTAAGTGAGGTTAGACTGAAAAGTAAGAGTCAAATGATGACAGAAATGACTGATAGAGTAGTCAGTGAAATCCGAATGAATGTAATACACCACTATCATGGTGTGACAGCTTTCATGTGTCAGGAGGTGTTAGCGAGGGAGTGTGTCATATGAACTGTGTATTTCCTAAATGTGTGGAATGGGAGGTGGCTCTAAAGTGGCAGGACTGGTTTTGGGTGTGGCAGCTCAGTGTCAGGCCTCACAGTTCACACGTCCCACAGCATGTGGTTAGCTGAGTAGCTCTCCAGGCCACTGTGTGATTAAGAAGAGATTCAACAATCTTTGAATTCTCTTGCTTTTCATTCAAACATCCAAAAGACATATTTTGTGCTACCATACATAACAGCACTGTCATTGCATAAATTAAGGGTTTCACAATCTGTGACTGAATGTTGCCATTTGGTCCTTTGGAAGGATCAACTCCCTGGACATGCCCACTGCAGTGCAACACCTGAGAGAGCCTGACCACGATCTGCAGGTCCTGGGCGCTGCCTACATTCAACATGAGTGTTACAATGACAGTGAGGCCAAAAATGAGGTAAACAGATTAAACTGGTTGTGCTAACTCCTTTGGATCTCTCCTCACTGCATTCCCTTATTGAGAAACTCCTTCGCAGCACAAACATGAATAAGCATACTTTCCTACTTGTTAAACTATTACTTTAAAGCTCTTATCTCAGAATTTGGTGATTGGTAATATAAAAAGCATTGTAGCTAACAGTAACGCACAACTAATGGATCCAGCCTTTGGATACTGGGATGAATGGGATCAAACTGTGACTGCACCAATTTTTCTACAAAAAGCCTGAAAGTTACAATCACATATAGTAAAGGTTCTTTAATCTACATTTGAGAACATGCTTTAATTTATTTTCTGTAAAAGGCTAGTGAAACACCGCCCAAATCCTAAGCAGATCTTTCTTTCTGTTTTTTTCTAGGTGCGTCGTTTAAAGGGCATTAGTGAGCTGGTGAAGCTGTTCACCAGTGACAACCAGGAAGTGCAGCGTTACGCCACTGGCGCCACACGCAACCTCATCTATGAAAACATGGATAACAAGGTGGCCCTCATCGAGGAGGGAGGCATCCCAGAGCTGGTCAAGGCACTTAAGGAGCCTGACGATGAGCTCCACAAAAACATCACAGGTGGGGAAAAGTCCCAATATTGTCCCATGGGGCAATAAGCAGAGTTGATCTGAGACTGCTTGTTTTGGACTTTTGCCTCAAGCAGATATGAGCAGATGAAGTAGATTCATGGCGGCCTTGAAATTCTTTCGGTAACCAGTGGCCTCTGACACTGATATTATTCAACACAAGAACAGGAGGATGACACGTTGTAGCTTAGAGAATGGCATTCACAGTATTTACTGTAACTAAACTATAATTTGGTTAGTTTAATTTTTAAGAGGACACTGTGAGAAACACAGTCACACTTTCATTCAGTGTGCTGTTATTTCCCCTGGAACTGACGTTCATATCCAGGCCTTCACAGTTCTAATACATTTGGTTTCCACTTGGCTCAGCCTGCAGCACTCACACAGTCTCACGAGTTCATCCGCTGTCATTATTATTCACCGTTATGTGTTGTCAGCAGAACTGACAGTCATACTTTCCCATGAAATTACTTCTTGAAAATTCAGAAAATGGATGTTGCAACTCCAGCTCCATAGTGTGGAGATCTGTAAGGCATGTAATCTGTGAGTACACAAGGAGTGTCGCTGCCGTCTCTTCTTTATGGTATGTGAAGTGGGGAATAATGGAATGCGTGGGAGCTGTCTGGGCCTGTGAACCAACGGTGCATCTGCCACTCCCTTTTATGAGTGAAGGCCGTGTCACTGTCTTCTTCAGCCGTTGCACCTTGATACAACACATGCTGAATTACTAAAAGAGGCTTGTCAGTTAGGTTCAAAAGTTTGGCAAAGTAATTAATAACAGAGCAAATGTGCTTCTATAGCTTGTTTTGGGGCGTTTACCAAAATGTGACACAGGTCTTGTCTTATCCACACAGTGCCTTCTCATGTCTTAGTTTCACTGCTATTTGAGTTTCATAGGCTTTGATTTATACAGTCAAGTGCTTTAGAGCCTTTTCAACTCATGCTGAAGAATTAATCTTCAGCAAATTGGGAAATGCACTTATTTGCTTTCCTGTCAAGCATTTGATGAGAATATTGGTACCACTGTCATGTCTGTTCAATAAATATGCTTAACTCTATCCACTCCACCTTCTAACATGCCTAAACCTCCAGGAAATTACTGCTCCTGGCCAAGAAATAGTCCTGTATAAAAACTATAACCTGCTGTTCCATTTCTGTTAGACTAAGCAAACTGACTGCTACTGTAGCTGTAGGTTCATATTTATTGTGCAGAAATGAGCGGTATCAATTTTGTCATTTAAATCTTGGCAAGAAACACTTTAAATTCATGCATTTCTTAAAATACCAAACCATGTCTTTAAACTGAAGTTACTGTAAAACATAAGTCACCAAGATTTAAGTTGAAATGTGTAACAGCTGACATCCAGGTTGAGAAATAAAAGGGTAAAAAAGCTACGGCAATGTGGGAAATGTAGCATCAGTGTCAGTCTTTCTGGTGTTTATTTGTGCAGGTATCCTGTGGAACCTTTCATCCAAAGACAACCTGAAGGAGAAACTAGCCAGAGAGACTCTGTCTCAGCTCACAGAGAAGATCCTCATCCCTCTGTCAGGCGGCAGAGACTCTGACAGCATCCACCAGTCCTCCTCCGAGGCCGACATCTTCTACAACACCACAGGATGCCTCAGGTGCACCTCTCGTATATGCATCCTATCTCTGTGGTTGCAACGTGCTTTTTTTTTTTTGCCACATTTGCATTTGGAGTGTCAGCTGACGGCTGCTGGAGATTTTAGCACTCAGCACTTTATAGTGTCGTCTGGAAAAGCCTGCATCACTCCAGCATTCATTAGCTTTGGTTCTGCTCTGTTTGTAGTGTAAGCACCGCGGTGGGTTTTAAATTGAAACTTTGGCATTGCTGCAGCACTGTGCCGGGAGGGGAACCACCCTCAAACCAGACTGTACTGCCATCTCTGTTTCCGCCATCAAGTCAGAAATATTAACATGCTTGACTGAGTTTTACCTGAAGTAGCTCTCTGACCCCTCACTTTCTCTATGTGCCCAGGAATCTGAGCTCTGTGAATGAGAAGACCCGCCAGCAGATGAGAGAAATGAATGGACTAGTGGATTCTTTGGTTAGCTACATCAAAGTCTCCCTTGATGAGAACAAGGCAGAGGACAAAGTGAGAGAAGAAGAGACTGTGCAGAATTTAACCCTTATTTTCAACACAATCTTTTACTGTGTATTCATTTCTCTGTGTGTGTATTCTTAGGGGGTTGAAAATGCTGTGTGTGTCCTGAGGAACCTTTCCTACCAAGTCTACAGTGAGATGCCACCATCTGCTATTGTGCGCCTGGAAGGGCCGACCAGAGCTCAGAACTCTGGGAAGGGTGACGCCATTGGTTGCTTTACACCTCAGAGCAGAAAAGCCAAAAATGTATGGACATGTTAGATTTATCCATAAGCAAGAATTCTGTGCACATGGACCAGACTGTCCATCTGAACACTTGTTCTTGTATATTCCTTCCCCCGACAGAGCAAGAGCCAGGACCTCTCCACCTTCACCGAGGTTGCTCGGGTGCCAAAGGGCATGGAGTGGCTGTGGCATCCACATATAGTAGGAATATACAAACGTGTACTACAGCAGTGCGAGATCAACTCCACTACTCGTGAGGCAGCTGGTGGAGCTCTGCAGAACATCACAGCTGGAGACAAGAGGGTAAGCAGCACATTTGTAAGACCTCATTCAAAGACGGTAAATGTAAGGTGGTCTGGTATGTGAGCTATGTCACTCTCTTAATCCTACAGTGGGCTTCAGTGCTGAGCCGGGTGGCTCTGGAGCAGGAGCGCATACTGCCAGTGCTGCTGGACCTCCTGCGCACCAACAATGACCTGGAGCTGCGCTCCCTCACAGGCTTCCTCCGAAATCTGTCTCGCCATGCCAGGGATAAGAATGACATGGGTCAGTCTTTAATTTTTTCTGTTATGTATGAAGTATTCAGTGCCCCTGAGTTACCAGTTAAATTAGTGGCGACCTGTGACTGACTGTGATACAACAAGAGTGTGTTGTTGTCTTATTTAAGACAAACTCCAGTAGTTGGTGCATTATGAGGAGACACACTTCTCTCTAGTGTTAAACTTGGTAATTTGCCTGGCTGTAGCCGTCTGTTTGTTTGTTTGCACAATTTATGTCAGTTTCTCTTAAATGGAAGCAAATATAACTTTAATCTTATTATCCATTAAATGTCTATATTCAGCCACTTTTTGCCTTCTTAATGTTGAAATGTAAATGCTTAATTTTAATTGTAAAGACCATTGAATTCAGCATTACACACCACTGAAATATTTTACTTTTAAAAGCTTTTATCTGGCTCTGTGTGGTTTCCATTCCTAGTAGTAGTAGTAGTAGTAGTAGTAGTAGTAGTAGTAGTTCAAAAATCTTGATTGAAGGTTTTTCGTACAGAATTCTAAAATTCAGTTCAGTCAAAATCAAATCATATTCTTTATGTCAAGTAAAAAAACATGAAGTTGAATCAATTAACTTCAGACACCAACATTTGAGAATATAGAATCTTATTACTGAGTAACAACGTAACTTGGCTAGGTTGTTTCATTAGGACCGTGTGTGTGTGGGGTCAAATAAGCAAACAACGCCACAACTCGGTAGATTTTAATTCAAATGTTGCTAAAACATAGAGATCTGTGACCTGACCATTTACAATCGAGTCCCGCCCACTTCAAACCAGTGAGAGAGCACAAAGAAAAAAAAAATCCAGTCTTTCAGGTGAAACACAGAAATTGTTATAAAATTGTGTGCTTATGTAGGATACCATTGCTAATAGTAATTACTGTAGCTAAAAACACATCTTCATCTTTTAAAGATGTTATCCTAACAACACGTATTGACTTATTCAGCCACAAAGGTGGTGAACAATCTGGTGACCAAGCTACCTGCCGATGGACAGCAGAAGGATCCCTCCAGCGAGGTGGTGGTCAACATCTGTGGTGTTCTCAATAACTTAGTGACCAGCAGCTCTTTGGCTGCCAGAGACATCACCTTCTTTGATGGCCTGTCAAAACTGGTTGCCATCAAGAACACCAATGATAGCAGGTGAGTGGCCTGTCAAGTAGCAACTAATCAAACACAGTGTACTGTAGTAGTTAACTGTATTTGTATGGCATTTGATGTTGAATGTTACACAGAATAATGCAGAATAACTTCCCACATGAGGTCATTTGTACCAACTGTTAACCTTGGATGAAAAATCTTTTTTTTTTTTTTCTTCCTTAACAGCGCCGGGAAGATAAAAGCAGCCAAAGCAGCGGCCACAGTTCTCACCAACATGTTCCAGTACAAGAAACTGCACAAACAGTACAAAGAGGTATTCAGATTCTTTAAAGTTAATTGTCTAACCATCAATTTACACACTAGTAGGTTTTAAACAAAAATAACTATTCTGAAACTACGCATGTTATAACAACACTTAACTGAATAAAAATGCCATTAAGCATTACTAACTTATATTAATATGTGCTAAATCGTACTTTGAGATGAACTTTTTTTACAGGATTTGAAAGTGATCTCATATTTTCCCCTCAGTTTCTGTCAAAAAGAGACACCAAAATAAGAAATCAAAGGTTCTTTTTAAAGCGTTTCATCCTTAAAAACACAATCTTCACAATTTAACTTGCAATTTTTTTTTGTATTACCAGTTCCCTCAGTTCAGTACTAAACTCTTTTTAAAAAAAAAAAAAAAAAAGTTTTTTCCAGAGTCTTCTGGTCTTGACACAGACGGGGCAATGATTTAAGATTCTGCATATTGACTGCTACACAAAGCTAAAAGGTTTTCATTCTGTGGTGCCCTACCCTCATTCTTATATCTTGTGCGTGTTTGTGTGCCTGAGCGTAAGGAAGAGAAGAAAAATGGTGAGAGTGACAAAGATAGGAGGTGTGTGTGTGTGTGTGTGAACTCTGTAGTTTCCTCATCAGCAGGCGTTATGTGTTCAAAACTCATATCTGTGACGGGCCCAGATAGGCAGGTCTACGTCTTGGGCAGGCCCAGGTAGGTGTAGGGCCTTCTGCAGATCTGGACTTGCCCCTCCCAAGGGTGCGGCGTTCATGTTTGTGTTTAAAGGTGCAGCCTGGCTTCTAACAAACAAGTCCCAACAGAAGGAAAAATGTGTTAACACTTGCCTTACATACAATTTTAAATTTAATCCTCGGATACTTGCAACACGTGTTGCAAATAATATGTACATATGCAACAAAACTATTTAAACATATTATTTTAAAGTTGCATAAATAATGTATCATACAAAATAAGAAAAGTCCTCATGCTCGCAGTCCATCGGTACAAATCCAGAAACAAATTGTGCTGCAACTGGTGCTTTTCATGGGTAGTAGCCCAGAATTAGTGAAATTATGATCATTGCAAAATAGACACATTGACATGAAAAGTTCTAATTCCATGTCTGTTTTTGACCTGGTGAGGGTGAAACTGGTTTGCGTTTTTACTGGGATGCTGATTAAATAAAGGCTTTTTAACATATTCCTTGCTCAACCGAGTTCCTGAAGTAGTTTTTCTTTGTTCCCTGTTTTTCTTTTCTATTCAAATGTACAATACTTTTATAATGTACAAGACTTTTGCTGTTCTGTTTTACATTCATTGTCATAACACTTCCTATTTTTCTTCTTTGCCTTACAGAAAGGGTTTACAAGACCGGATTTTGCAGATATGACAATGTGAACAAAGGTAATGTAGTACAAGATCAGTCCTGCACTCGAACATCTTTTCAGATGTGCAGGAGTAAATGAACTCTTTATAATATTCAAAGATAACTAAGCCTCAGTTTTTATCTGCCATAACTTGTCATAAGAACACGAACACACAAGTGGTGGAGGGTCTGTCCAATAGAAAACATGGTGTGATGGACTCCAATACTTGTGTGTACACCTTTTCTATCTCTGTTTGAGCACTATATGCGTGTTTAGTGTGGAATCAGGGATTTGTTTTCTGCCCGAGCAACATATATCCAGATGAAACTAAAGCTGTTTCAGTGTAAACCTGTTCATGGACATTTGTGCCTTATCTTTTCACCTTTGCACTTAAATTTCAGGATATATGCAACAAATGTGGTACTAGCATTTTTGTAAATACTGCTTTTTCTTTTACACAAAATCAGATTGACTATTTTATATAGTGTAGCTATGTACTTTGTAGTTTTTGGATAATGTCAACACTAGAACGTGTAGATGGAATGATGATACATGATGGAGTGTAAACCAGAGGAGATTTCTAGAAATGGTTTCCTGAATTCTTTAATACATTTGATTCAGAATAATGGGGATAATTATTGTGCCTCCATTTGACTTTTGTATTTAGTTGTGTGCTTTTTTTTTTAAAGTTGCAAAATCTGTCTTGTCATACAAAATACTGTTTCCTTTATAATCACTTTGTCAAATAGAACCCAAAAGTACTATTGTGTTTTTCTTCTGCAACGTGCAAGTTTAACTGCTGTTTGCCTAACGTTGTTGTTGGTGTGTGTGTGTGTGTGTGTGTGTGTGTGTGTGTGTGTGTGTGAGAAACAAAGGTGAAAGGATACAGTCCCAACTTTACCTGAAGAAAAAAAATATATTTTATTAGTATTTGAATTCTTTTTTATGTCCAATTGCAAAATTAGACTGATTTAACTTTCTAATCTAAATAAGTTCAATCTATTTGTGAAACATAATTGTTGTTAGTCACCAACAGTTTGTTTAAAAAAAAAAAAAAAAAAAAAAAAAAAAAAAAAAAAAAAAAAAAAGACAAATCAGGAACAGTGACTACTGCTCTGCGATATAAATGGTGACCTTGTGGTTCTGTATGGGAGTTTAAAACTGTTTTAATTTTTACTTTTGCCTTGTATATATGTCTTATCTGTATATTTTTCAATTAATAAAGAGACGGATTTGGAAGTTAAATCACTTTCTAAACGTTTCTCATGTATCTGTGCTGCAGCGTTTCTTGTAGCTGCAACAGACTGACACGAAGGTGGTAAAATGTCGGCCACTCCCTGTTTACACATTTGCTCCCGCTCAGACCAGAACAATACGCTCCCTGCTGCGCCCTTATTTAGGCTCTTATTTCACTGCAGGTAATCATTATTCCATGAGGACAGAGATCATGATGAGACTGTAGAGAAATAGCCTGCTTTTTTTGTTAATCTGCTTTATTAGTGCGATTGTCGTGATGTTGCAGTATGATGTTGTCAGTTTACAGTGTACACACAGACCCCACCTGTGTAGTCATGGATGTCCTGCTGTTTCAGATGACTAAAGTTCAAATCAGTTTTCAAGGTTCAAATCTGATTCGTTCTGTCCCAGCCATCTGTGTACCGTCAGTTGCCAGGTGAAGAGAAACCGCTTAAAAATCAGAATTCCTTCATGTTGTCTGACTACTCTGCCCTCTGTTGGGAGCCTAACAGACACATCATGTGAAGACAATGAAAAACTCAATATACACATTACTATATTTCTGATAATTTCTTGTAACATTTCCCATAAAACATTTTATGCAACAGTATAAAATACTAAACATTTGCTGTGTTTGGTGAGAAATGGACAAAGTGTAGGCAGACATTTTAAGAGATGAGCAAGACTTTGGGGGAGGGGTATGGGTCAAAGGTCCTCAGTGACCAGGCAGTAGAAGTCTGAGCGGGTTCCATAGTTGCGTGATCCCAGGTCCGACACGTCGATGTCTGAGGGTTTGGGCTCAACTGCTGCGGTGGGAGCAGCAGGGAGGACAGGAGCTTTACAGGCCAGAGTCTTGTGCACAGGGAGACGAAGCCCTGCCACACAGAGAGAGAGAGAATTGATGCAATACATTATATTTTTACACTGCTGTAGTGTTGTACTAAGGCTGCATTGTATATTTTTTATGCGTGTGTCATCTCTCCTGAATCTGAAATTAAAATTAGTTTTTTGGCCTCAAATGGCTTTTGTAATGCCTTGTCACCACAAGATATGTGAGGTGATCAGACACAGCCTGTAGTCTATATACTTAAGTTTTTAAGTGGATAAAATGAAGATGTTACTGTACATGTTAAGTAGGAAGTTGTAGATGCGGTGATGGGCTGATTTTGTTATCTTGGACAGAGTTGGCTGAACTGTTTGCTTGTTTCTGGTCTTTGTGCCAAGTTGAGCTTTAGCTTCAGACTTAAGTGAAGGACACGAGTTGTATCTGTCTATACAACTCCACAAATAAGCAAATACTAAGCTATTCCTCCAAGACGAAAGCATCTACTGCTCATGTCTTTTACTTGCGTCATGATGGTAGGTTTCAATTGTATACTGTTAAAGCATAGAAAGGAGTCTAGTGTATATGCACTATAACAGTTTATGTTCTAATTCTCAGGTAACAAATAAAAGAAACAGCTGATAAGCATTTACAGCTCTGGATCATGTTGAGTATCACATGGTTGTTAAACATGAGCTTACAAGACCAGGTTTGCTGTCAAGGTATTGAATTTCAAACCTTTAAATACAAACTACCTCTTACCATCATTTGTGCAAGGTAGTGCACAAATAAATGTATATTTATTTGATGTGCTAAAAATGGATGGGTTAGTTTTTTTGAATAGTTATCTTTGTGTGAATAGTGAACCTTCATATAAGGGGTTTGCTAGACCAGGGACTGCTGTTCTTACCCAGATCTCCAGCAGGGTCAGTGTCTGAGCGACAGTCCAGGTAGTCAGGGTCAACAGTCAGCATGGGGTCCTTATCATCTTGCAGTGCAATCTGAGGATCTCCTGCTGACTTGCTGTGGAAGACAAACCTGCAGCTGCTTCCAGAAGACTGAGGAAGGAGTCTGTGGAGCAGACACATTACAACACGGTTAACTTTAAACAGGACTCAATTTTTAAACTGCAGACATTTGTCTTGCATGTATTATGTATATTATGTAATGTATACTGTACAGTTCCAGTTTCACTATATCTGAATATTTATCTAATCACAATGAAACTGATTTCTATACCGAAACTGTTAAAATGACAAACTGTTGTTGTTTCTAGTTAAATCAATTTATACTTTCCCTGTGTCCTCAAGTAATTTTGTGCTTAAATCAGATTCAGCAGAATGAATCAAAATGTGATCTGATTAAACCACACCCACACAGTCCTGAGGAAGACAATAAGCTGTGTTCAACACTAAATACCCACCAAGGATCTGATTTCTTACCCTTAAGATTGTTGCTTATTTAGTCTTAATTTGTAAACATTTTTACTTTAGCTTTTAAGGATTTACATGACTGTGGTACAACACACAAATCATTCACGTTTCTTTCACTGTAATACCAGCTTCTGCAGAAAAACATTCCCAGTCGACAGTGGAGGTAAAGTCCAGATGCCAACCACTCTATAAGCATTGCACATATACTTGTATATATTTTAAAAAAAAAAAAAATCATGCTTAAAATTACTCGTAAGAAAAAGTATTGTTACCACAGAGTTTTGCCTCCAGGTGAGTATGGTGAAGCAGTGCTGGTGTTCACTGAGCTGCCGCTTGATCTCAGGCCTCAAGAGCTTGGACTGGCCCTCCAGCATGATGAGGATGGGCTGCTGGCATATTTCTAACAAGTGCAGAAGGCCCTGTCTGAAAACACACATCCACAGATTGCCATATGAGGACACAGACACTCCAGTATACAGCAAGGAATACTGCCCTCAAGTGGAGCAGTACATGTGCTGTTTCTAAATGCAATTAGTCTGTGTGAGTCTGACCTGAAGTTATTGTAGCACCAGTCCTGCTCCAGGTAAGCATGAGAGAGCAGCACAATGAGACGCCGAGATCGACTCATGTTCATGAGCAGTTCTGCAGACGGTTCTGAAGACACAAGGTTAAAAGTAACCAATTTACAACTGGCCACACCAAATAACAGGCTTTTATACATATATATATATATATACACAAATAAGAACAGACAGGAGTGTGAGTCTATAGAGTATTTATGCCATTTTGTTCTTGTATATAAGCACATCTAGTACAATAGTAAATACTGTACAGTGTACACAGAACGGTAGTGTACATATACAATATTTTAATTAAATGAGTTTACCTCCCCCCTCCTTGAACTGCCACCTTATTGTGGTGGAGGGGTTTGAGTACCCGAGTGATCCTAGGAGCTATGTTGTCGGGGGCTATATGTCCCTGGTAGGGTCTCCCAAGGCAAACAGGTCCTGGGTGATGGGTCAGACTAAAAGCGGTTCAAAAGCCCTTTATGAATAGATTAAAATCAAGGACCGTGACGTCGCCTGACATGGCGCAGCTGGGGCCCCACCCTGGAGCCAGGCCCG